TATCTGCTTAGACTCAAAAAAATAAAATAATCATTATAGTTTCGCTTAATAACTATATTAATACCCGAGTTGGACCCGGATTCGGTAGTACAATTCCGAATCGAATCTTAGACCCGACTTTTGTATTTCGGTTCGGGTACGGGTCCAATTAAAATCCGCCCGGATCTGGACTTTGCCATTCACCAAGAGTTTCACCAGTTTCACCAGTTTCGCCAGCATCTATAGGTGCAACGCTGAAGGAACTTTTTGGAACCGCTATCCGCTTTATCATAGGGATTGTACCTATTATGCCGAATTCACAAACTTAATCGAATCGGCCGAAGTAAATTTTTATCAGGTGTTCCAGGAATTATGAAAATAGCTGTAATTTTCATAACATGAAACTTTTAAATAGACCGGCCGACCGGCTTTTTTTTAAAAAATTTCATATCGATATCGATATATAAAAATTTAAGAATTTTCTTAAGAACCCACCCGGTTATTAAAACATATAAAAATTTTTTTTACAAGTTTTCAAAACTTGACCCGGCCAGGTTATAAAAACCAATTAATTAATTTTGCATGGCCTTATAATACGTACAAATTTTTAGCATACTCGCACATAATCAATTTTAAAAGAAATTTTTATGTATAATTTTTAGATCCTGTTAAACTTGGTAATTTTGGTGAATAAGAATAATAATAAGCTTTAAAGGAACAATTGTATTAAACTAGGTTCTGCTGAGATTAGCGATTCAAATAAATAGATGGTATTAGTTACACGATTTGTCATAAATATAACGGGCACGTTTTTCGTAGTAAATTGCGGCGGTTTCTTAGAAGAAACTGCGCCTACTGTTTAGAAAGTTGAGTTCTTTATCATTAATAAGCCACAAAAGTTCAATTTTTAAAACCTTTCTTTTTTTAAATAATATATAAATCAATAACGAGGAAAGGTTATTTTTATTTAAAATACTTTCTATTTATTCTTGACCCAAATAAAAAAAATGTTACTGAATCTTAACACCATAATTTTTAGCCAATTCTATCACGTCTTGTCGCGTCCCTTTTATCAATCTTTGTCGAATACTACCGACGTTATCAACTTGTGATTCATCACATGATTTTAATAACGTACATAATAAATCTTCTAATACTATATTAAATGGTATATCTGTTAATAAAGCATTTAATCTTGTAGAATATAAAATTATAACAAACCTTTTTTATCATCTTTTCCCAAGAGCATTAGAACTAGACTAAACCTTCCAACACGGGTCAAATAATACAAAATATTATAAATATCATCAACTGAATCATAGCTAAATATTAAGTAAGGATATATTTGTAAATTGAACATAAAAGTAAATGGTAAATCACAATATCTATGGAAATGATACACATACACTAAAAAGTATTCTTTCATTATAAAAATGATTTTGGAAAGGTAATCAGGTTCGAAAAAGTTCGACAAAAGAGCTGGATAAGATGCGGGAGAAATAGCCTTTAAAAAAAACATAGTAATATTAAATAGGATATATTTAATTCTTAATAGGATATTGAATTAAAATTTAATTAATGACATGGTTAACTACCTTAATAAATTGATATAAATTCTCGTCATTATCTTGATATCTGCTCCAGTCCCGTTCAAATTCATGTATATTACGAGGTGTGTTTACTTTTATTACTTTTATCTATTATATAAACGAAAAATTTAACGATATTTACACAAAGGATAAATTAAAAAAAAACCAAACAATGTATACCTTGCCGTTTTCATTTTCGATTTGCTGCGATGTATTTTTTTTGTCCGTAAAAAGTTCTTTTTTTGCTGATTCAATAATATGTTCATTCTCATCGAGGTCAACTTCTTCTATAGACAGTCGTCTCCTATGTATACCGTTCGCAGCCAAACCATCTATATCAGGAGTCCGATCAGGCGACTTCTGTTTGACCACCGGTTTTCATGGTGAATTTATATTGAAATAATAAATATGAACATAAATCAATAAAGATTAAATTATTCTTGTATTACCGCTTTTATAGCTTCCAACACCTTAATATACTCGTCCTTAATAGCCTTATCGTTCGGTTCTAGCAGCAATGCATCATCCAGATCTTAATATAATTCAATAAGAAATTAGTAGACGTTAAATAACAAGATTTATATTTGATATTTATGTAATACCTTTTTTGGCATCTTGTAATTTTCCCAGTTCTCGCCTTGCAATTCCTCTTCTCCAAAGGGCTTTTATGTTATCAGGATGTAGCAACAATCCCTTAGTACAGTCATCTTCAGCTTCAACCCATCTATAATTAAACGAAATTAGAAAATTAAAATGAAATAAAAAAATTTAACGCATATACTAACTTGTTAAGTTTTAAGTAAGCCATAGCACGATTTATAATGTAAACAGGTTCTTTGGGATCCAATTCATTAGCCTTTCCATAGTGCTCGATCGCTTTTTTGTAGTCACCTTTTTTAAAGAAATTGTTTCCCTAAAAACGTATGATTTAAAAAATTATACCGGAGAATACATGAGATTCAGCCTTTTTTTTTTGCAAGCTCATTTGATAAAAAAAAATAATCAAACGAAGCACTTTAAAGTGATAAGGTGGTAGCTCCAACCGTCTCTTTCTCCTGAAAGGCTTTTTCTAGCCTTAAAGTTTTCTTTCCTTTAAGATCAGGTTGACGTTGACGTGACATTTTTGTAGGCAATGCTAACCGGAAGCCTGAACTTCACGGTGAAAATTAAATTTTCCATATCAAATATCTATAAAAAATTTTTTATATGAACACGGCATTTTGATCATTTTGATTGGTTGATTATCTGACAACGCTAACTGTTAAAAGAAATCTGAATGGTACGTACCTAATAAACGATGAGCCGAACCGCGGATTGGTTACAGGACTATTATAGCTAAAACTGTGAAATATTTTCAGATGATCGAAGTAAACTTATTCAGAATTTATGAAAACAGCTGTAACGGTAACGAAACATTAGTTCTAAAAATGGCTCAGCTCAAGGCTTTGAAGCCGAATCTGGTAGTATTTTTTTTAGCCATTGTTGCATTGCGAGAAAAAAGTGACATTTCCGAAGAATCAAGACAAACCGGGCCTCAATAACAAACTCTTGGAGGCTGGCCGAAGGCAATTGAGATAGATAAGCCATGGAAACAACAAAGGTGAGTCACAATGTAAAAAGCTTAGACACTTAAGCCTCATTATTAGTTCATAAAAGTTTTTTAGCTGTTGAAGAGCGTAACGTGGTTACTTATATGCGAGGTAGGGACACATAAGAATACTAACACATTAAAATAATTCCCCTCTTACCATGATATCCCAGATATTGACTAAGGGTGCTCTCAAGCATCTAAATCAATAGGTCTGAGTTCAATTTTAATTAGTGGAAAATAAATTATTCGGTCAAGCGAGTTCATTATCGCTATGAAAAAAAAAGACCATCTTTTTTTATCATAGAGTTGTGCTGATTGGCTAAAATTTAATATCCGCGTTTCGCAACATGAACCTTCGACAAAATTACCGTAAGGTTTACTTCAATTGATCGTAGTACTTGTGCACGATCTCTATAGTTAGCTAATTACACTGAGAGAGATGCTTGAGAGCACCCTAAATCACCATAGTCACGCCTTTGGCGAGTTGCCTTACCGATATCTATTTCCCCTTGTTTTCGTTAATGAAATTATTATACGTACGTTAAAGTCACCCGTGACAAGCTTCTACTTGGACAATTCCAAATTTTTAGTGGTTATTTTGACAAATTGATTAAAAATATTTTTTAGTATTAAGATAATGCTCTTGAGCTATTTATATTTTGTTAGTTTGATTCAATTAAAGACTTGACTACTGTTATATTATTGTGATCAAAAATACAGATAATCAGTCAACTGTTTGCATTAAAATAACTCTTTGCCTATGATTAACATGATTACTGGATTAAACAGCTAAACGATTCCAATCCTTAATTACACTGTACATAAAACATAACGATAAAATTTAAAAAAAATATTAAATATATATGAATAAGCACACCCTAATATATATGCATAAACTCATAATTTGATTAAAAATATTATAGATAAATTAATAATAGTTTATCTCTGGTTTTAAACTAGTATGGTCAATAAATTTTATAAATCTTATATAAATTCTATATATTACTATGTATTGTAAAAACAAATGATAATATTAATATGTAAGATTTTATATTATTATTATTATTATACAGTATATCATACTGTAAAATCCAAAATTTTTTTTAATAATAAAATTTTCTGACTTATAACAATTAAAGATACCAAAAAAAAATAAAATCTTTTAAAAAAAATACTATTTACAATATATATATATAGCTATATATATAAAAAGCTTGCCACTTTTGCCATTACTTGCCAACTACATATATTGGCAAGCTATTAAAATTTTGGCAAGGCAGGCAAGGTTTTAAAAATAACCTTGCCAACCACCCTAGTAAACCCAAAAATTTCCGGGTTCCCGGACATGATCTATTATCGCGTAGAACTAGTTGCAAAAATATTTAGACGCCGATTTTTAGGTATATATATGGAAAGCCGCCATCAACTTTGTACATTCGGTAACCAAGTGATCTAAATTTTTCGGCAAGATTTACCACATTTGCATTTTTGTTTTGAATATAATTCTAACTCTTCTTGGTTGTCGCTAGAGCCCTGCACGGGCCTAAAAATTTGTATTTTTGCCAGCCGCAAAATAAAATTTATTATATTTTTTAAAAGTTCGGCCCGCAATTTATTGTTTTTAAGACACCAGACCCGCAATTTTGAGAGGTTTTTAAAATTTTCAAATATTGGCCTGGCCCGTGCAGGCCTCTAGTAGACGACATGCAAATCTGTAATAAAATTAGGGCAATAAATAATTTATACGTACGTACATACATTTTTGATATACCTAAGGCCACTCCAAATTGATTCTTTGTTTAACATAATATCAAATGGTTCATAAGAGGGGGGGGAGGGCGTGAAAAATACACAAATTAAAAAAACTAGCAATTTTATTGGTTGATTTAACATGTGTTAGTTATATAAAATTTAAAAAATTGAGGGGGTAAATACTATTAATTACTATTAATGAGTATTGGGTTCATATAAAATTTAAAAAATAGGGGGAGTTATGTTAGGGATGGTAAAAATCATGATTTAAATCAAACTTTGTGATTTAAAAATGATTTACTCTTGATTTAAATCATTGATTTTTATTGCGCATTATTAAGCATTGGTTTTTATTACATTATTGCGATTCATAAAAAAACATTAAGTACATGATTTTATTATATTATATTATTATGATTTATATCGATATAATTTTGATTCTAAACATTAATCTTCGCTATCTTCAAACCAAATATCTTCGCCAATATCCTTCAGAATTCTCAAATTCTAATAAATATTTACAAGCTTCTTTACATAATCATTGTCCAAACGTGACGATATTTATTATGAATGAATCAAAATTTGACCAACATCGTTTAGCAGCAGCTGAAGATGTTGGAATTGAGAGAACCTGACAAGCAAGTTCGACCACAATAGGAAACTTATTTGAAAAGTTTGACTTCCACCAACTGATCGGATTAGAGTGTTCAATTGATGCCCAAAGTAGCAAGCCAGAAAATTCTTCCATTTTAGCGATATACTTTTGCAGTACTCTATAAATCTTAGATATATATAAATAAATGAATAAAATAAAAATAAATAATTATAATAATTATATGCATTCAAACAAAATATAAATTATAATACATACGTATGCAGTAGTTTCAAATGTGTAAATTCGTTCCAAATATGGAATAATTACAGTTTCAAGATCTGTTGGTCCCAAGGATTTCCCATGAAAGCTAATATATACATATAAATCAAATCAATATAATACATAATATAAATATAAAATTGTAGTTTTAAAAAAACCTACTTGGGATCTAAAAGGTTCACAATTGCCATTGTGGAGTGAAATGAAAATTCAAACTGTTTATCAACTAGATCAAGAATTTTTATTTTAAAATTCGGGTTCAAATCACATGAATTACTAACTGATGTTCAAAGAATTTGCTATTCATAATGAACACATGAGAGTAAAGGTTCATCCGATTCAAATAAGCATACAAGCCTGACAAAAGGCGTTAAAAGTAATGATAATTTTTCAAATTCTTTTCATAATTGTTCATTTAAAATCTGTTCTCGAAGATCTTGTGTAATTTTAGTACTAATTTCTGGTTGCACCACCGATATTTGAAGCCCTAGCTTACATCTAAGAATAGATTGGATTGCATCTAGGCATGTTCCCTATCGAGTATCAACAGGTTGAATCAATGTAATCGTATTTGGTTGATTTAACAAGATCGATTTAACTAGACGATATGAACGAAAAAAAGTTATAATTTGCTTTGCACAATTCATTATTTTTTCTGCCCAATCAAGTTTTAGTATATCTTTTATTAGAAGGTTCATAATATGTGCATTACACCCTAAGCAAATTAATCGTGGATAGTCTCTGTTTAATAACTTCCAGGCAGATCGCATTGCACTAGCATTGTCGGTTATAAGAGCAGCAAATTTGGAGAAGCCAACTGATTCAATAATATTTTTAAATTCATTATAAATGTAGTTAGCAGTATGAGATTTGGCTCCTGAATACTTTGCATTATAAAAAAATGGTTTTGGAAGACAAAGAATAAAATTTATGACTGATTCATGCCGAATATTTGACCACCCATCCGATACTAGTGTTATATTGGATGCACTTTCTAAAATAGCATCTAATCTTTGTTTTTTAACAAAATATTCAGCATTCAATAAGTTGTTTGCTAAGTTTCAACGATTTGGAATAATATATGATAGTTGTACAATTTTCATAAATATAATCCAAAAAGGGTTCTCAATTGCATTAAAGGCAATGCCTGCAAAATAAAAAAATCTTGCCAAATTTCAATCAGCATTTTGTTTATCTATTGGTGTTGTTCAATACCTTGATCTGAACTTGCCAAATCAGAATGTTGCATATGCTGTATACTATTTCTTCGATCTTTTGTAGTAGTAAAATCCAAAGAATCTTTTATATCTTGCGAAAGATTTTTACATTTCATCAAATGATCTTTTAAATGATCAATTATATTAATGATATCCTCTTCACAGTGGATACACATTAGACAAGAGGTTTTTTGACCAAGTTTATCTGTGTCTACAATTTTTATAAATTGAGAACGAATGTCTTTGAAAGGAGGTCTTCCACGTGGTATTGTTTTTATTAAAGATTAAATCGCTTATATTTGAATTTTTTATATTAAATTATTGAATCATAAAATTAATCATAACAACAAACTACGTAGTCTTTCGATTATATTGATTACGTAATAAATGATTTAAATTAGCTTTAAAATAATTTAAATCGAACATCAGTGATTTATAATAAAATAATTTAAATCATCTGCCATCCCTAATAGAAGCCTATTATTATAAACATTTGTTTAAGTTAAATTTAAGGTTAACATTTGGCCAAGAACATAAAATTAAATCGCTATAATTCTATAATCAAGATTTTAAATTAACCTTCAGTTCTTTGTGCTCTTAAGTTTTCTAATCTTGATATGTTACTATTAAAATGCTATGAAATATTCATTTGATTCTGAAGTTTGGGGTCTCTGTCTACCAATGATTTATAGTTGCGCTTCTATTTATAGTAGCCAAATCGTTAGAAGTTCATATAGTCAGTTTTTTAATTTAGATCAATAACATTACCTATTCTAATTTGCAGTATTACTGATTTCATTAATATTTGTTTCTGAATTTTCAAAGAAGTGTATAAATCCTATAAAATGAAAGAAACTGAATTTCAGTAAATAAAAAATTATTCTACTTTAAAAGTAGTTTTAAGTTCATGTAATTTTTTACAATGACTCGCTTCTATTAACTGGACAGTCGCTTCTAAGTCCTTGCTTTGTTCAGTTACTGTTTCTCTAAGTTCAAGATGCTCAACAATAAATCTTTCAAATGTTTTTTATAAAATCATAAACAGTCGGATAAATCAAATATGGTTTTACAACGAAAACAATTTATATTAATTATACTGTTAGACTTTACACGTTTGACATTTCTTTACAAAATCTCGAGTTGTAAATTTTCCTTGAGAAAGTTGAGAATCCATAAGCAGGCGATTCAGGTTTATTATAAGGTTAACTGTTTGGCCTGAAACGTCACGATCTTTAAAAGACCAGAATCTAAGTCATAAAGATTTGATTACGCAACTTCTTTTTTTGTGATAAAATTTTTAATGCAGTAATGTACCGAATTAAGTATAGTACCGGACAGCTAAAGATATCTACTTTTTACATATAAAAATATAAAAAGGCTTATAACTCAACAACAAATAACTT